CCAACAGAGCCGACATGGGTAGCCGGCTGGGGGGGGGGTGGCGGGGGAAAAAGAAGAGAGACCCTGAGAGCTTAAAAGGAGTAGCCAGAGAGGGCCTCTGGGGTGCTGTAGCGATTGAAGCAGCCACAAAGGAAGGGAGGTCGGAAGAAGGGGTCGATACAGACTGGAAGGACCGACGCACAGGGTGGGTGCGTGGGCGGAAACGCAGAAGCGGAGGGAGAGTCGGCGCCGAGCAGGCAGGAAAGCGCCTCGCGTGCGGCCCGCGGCGGGACAACCGGGACCCAGGTGTCCTTTCTGCCGCGGTGCCGCCCTCCACTTCCACAGGCCTCCGCGCCCGCCCTCCCCCGCCTGCTGTCTGACCCCAGCCCGCTTAGGGCTGCGCTGTAGGAAGCGTGAGGCCCGAGCTCAGAGTGCTCCCGGGGCTCCACAGGAGGGAAGCCGGGCAGAGGCGAGCGGGCGGAGCCGAGCGGGCGGAGGAGGGCCCCCGCGGGGTTCCGTGCTCCTTACAGAGCCGCTGCAGGCGCCCTGGGGCGGCCGAGCCCGAGCACACACCACGCAGGCCCCGGGCGCTGTCGGAAGCCCTGCCGCCGGGTCCCGCCTGGGCGGTCTGCTCCAACAGCCACCTGCGCGCGAGCGGCGTTAGAGACGCCCAGCGAGCAGCCGAGGCAGAATTTTTGACCCGAGGCGGCAGAATCCAGCTCTGCTCTCGGGCGCCACCTTGGGGCCCCTTGGAGAATGGACCTGGGAGAGCCGCGGGAGCCGCGTCCGGAGCCGCCGCCTCCCGGCTGGGCTGTTTAACTCTGGGCGCTCGACCTCTCTGAGCGAAGGAGTCAACGCCTCCTTTCCTGTAACACTGAGACGACGATCCCACCACGCACCCAGAGGTGGTGCTGCAAAAGTGTCGCACCGCTTTCCTCAGGAGGGAGCTGGACGGCACCTATGGCGCAGAAGAAGCTGAGGTCCGCAGAACGCACGTCGGAGTGTGACCTTATTTGGAAATAGGGTTACTATAGGTGTCAGTGAGAGCCAGGAGGGGTGGGCCCCTACCCAGGATGACGGGTTCATATGCCAAGGGATGAGCGGCTGTGGAGATGCACTATGGGGGCTGTGAAGGGGCGGCAGAGGCTGTAGTGATGCGGACACAGCCGGGCGCCGGCTAACTGCTGGGAAGGAAGGGCCCCGCCCAGGGCGCCCGAGGGGCTCCATTTCAGACTCCTGGGCCCCCAGTGTAAGAGAATAAACGTGTTGTTGTTTTCAGCCTCCCGTCTGTGGTTCCCTGTTGCCCTGGGAGACTAACACAGTGGGAGGTCCATCTTCTCTGTAAAGCAGATGGGGGGGGGGCATTTGAGCACCCCAAGGCCCCTTTCTTCCAGAGGAAGGAGCTAAACACAGGTCCAGTTTGTCGCAGAGGACACACATACGTAAACATGTAAAAAGACGCTCACCTTGAGGATATCATCACACACCCCCAGACTGGCTATCCCGCGGGGGAGTGACCCCCCGGGCGCAGCAGACCGCTCCTGTCTCCCTGCTGCTCCCCTCAGCAGTGGATTTCAGTGATCTGCCTATTCTGCTCCCCACTCTGCCTCTGGCGAGTCCTCTCCCCCTGCCCCCACGCCTCTGGCCTACGCCCCAACTCTTCTACGCAAAAATACATTAAAGAAAATTGGTTGAAATCCCCCAAACTCCAAAGACAGCAGCGATGCAGCGCCCCCAGGGCTCCACCCACGCTTCGGTGGAGTATAAAATGGCCTGAGCCCGTGGGGAGGGCCTGGCTGTGCCGCGGACCCCGACCTGCGGCTTGCGGGGCGCGCGTGTGGGCTGCAGGGGGGTGGGGCGGCCGTGCGTGCAGGAGGTGAGGATGCGCCAGGCGCGGGGCGGTGCGCGTGCACGTAGGCGCGCGCCCTGAGTCTGTTAGGAAGGACGCGGCTTCAGCACCATGGTCAGAGACAGACTCCAGCCGCCTCCCCCCCGCACCCGGTGTCATTTAGCCCAGCCAGGCCTCCAGCTTCCAGATTTACAGGGCATTTAAGTTTCATGAAAGCATTTCTAAAAATTAAAACCCCCAATGTGAGTTGCATAAAGACGGGGGGGGGGGAGAAGTCTAGGAGGCGCTGTGGGACGCTCTCTTCCCTGCTAGGGGTTGGGGCAGCGAAGCCCACCACAGCCCAGGGCCAGGCCACGCTCCCCGCCAGGCCCTGGGCTCTGTCCCCGGCCTCCCTCGCAGGAGTCCTCCGGCTGCCAGGTCTGACGCTTCTAACAGCAGATGAGGAAAGCAGCACTGAGGATGGTGAGGGGTCCGGGCCAGCACTGGAGAGCAGGGCTCCCTGACCCTCCCTCCCAAGCCCTGCCGGCCCCTGCCTGCTGCCCACCACCCAAACAGGCACCCCATTCACGGTGCGGCCACCAGGGCCAGATGCCGCGACGCCCTGCAAACCGCCCCATGCGAAGCCTGGCAGCACCGTGTCTGCTGTCTGCTGCAGACTGAGTGTTTTGAAGCCTGTCCCCCAGAGTGATGGTATGTGGAGATGGGGTCTTTGGGGTGCCCTTATAAGGAGACCCCAGAGAGCTCCTCAGCCCTTTCTGCCTTGTGAGAACAAAGGCCTTTCAAGGCTCTGGCCTCCAGGGCCTTGAGACACCAACTTCTGCAGTTCACAAGCCCCGGGGCAGGGGAGCTTTTGTTACAACTGGGCACTGTGTTGTTTGCAGGGTGATGTCAGGCGGTGATGGTCTCCCACTGACCACTTACTCTGCGGTCAGCTCATGAAGATCTAACGCTCAGAGCAACCCGGGGGGCCAGACTTGCCATTGCCGACCATGCAGACGAGGACACCGAGGCATGAGTTCTTTCCTCAAGGATAAAACATATTTTGATAGAAATTTTCTAGCACAGAGGAAATTAATGGGAGGGGAGGGTCTTCAGATACATAAGGGGAAAAGAGGCTAGCAGGTTTCACCAGCACTGACTCGGGCCTCTTTTTCCCCATCAGTTTCCCTGACTTCAGGGCTTCAAGTCCCAGCCCTGCACTCACCTGACCAGGTGCCCCAGGACAGGTGACAGGTGACTTCACATCTCTGCCCTCAGCTGTCCCATCTGTAAAGAGGAATATCAACAGGAGCTACAGCTTGCAGGCTTTTGTGGATGATAGCCAAGTAAATATACATAGAAAATATTTTTTAACGCTTATGAGAGGAACGAACAATTGTTACGCAGGACACTGTGGGCATTCTCAACAGCAAACCCAGTCTCAGAGGGTTACACGTAAAATGTAACCCTCACCCACGTAAAATTCCCAAGGTGCCAATTTGCAGTGACTCAGCGGTGGCTCTGAGGGCTTGAGGTTGGGGACGGTGTGATAATTACGGGATAAAGCAGAGTTTCTCGTGGCGGTGAAATGCTTCTGCGTCGCGGTGACCGGAGAGGGAGAGAGACAGCCGGCAGGCGGGTGTGCAGTGGGCAGGGCGGGAAGGCTGGGAGGAGGAGAGCACTGGCAGTGGCCTTCGCCAGGGCGGCGACACAGGCAGCCTGGGCCTTGCAGCTCTCCCCTGGCGTCAGAGGGAGCCGGCCACGAAACTCGTCAAGGGGGCTTTTAAGGTAAGGTTTTACTGTGTAACAGTTCAAGCCTTCACATAATTTTGCTCAGCGGTAACATGTTGGGGGCCACCCTGGTGGTGTAACAGGTTAAAGCACTGTGAGGCTCCCTGCAGCCACCGCAGCAGAGTTCCATCCTGGCCGGGGAGTGACCACAGGGGCAGCAGACCCCTCCTGTCTCCGCTGCCCCCTCAGCAGTGGATTTCAGTAGATCCCACCCTGTCTCTGGGGAATCCTCTCATCGCCCCACACCTCTGGCCTGCACCCCCCGCTCTTGTGTGTATAAATGAATCAATCTTTAAAAAAACAAGAGCCATGTTGGGCACATGGAAACCAGCGGTCACTGTGGCCTCACTTTCCCAGCTCATCCGATCTGCTGTTTTCAACGATCTTTTCTGGCAGGCTCGTCACGAATGGCCACAAAATGAGTAACGTTTTGAGTGGAGGGAGGGGGGCGGCCGTGATTCTCCAGGCTGAGGCTTCCTGGAGACAGAGCCCTGACTCACCTGCAGCTCCCACCCTGACTACTCCTCTATGTAATCATGGAAAACAGACGGCAACCGCAGGGGCAGTGATTTTTAGAAATGAGTTACGAGGCAACAGGAAAGATGTTCTGAGCACCCAGGTGGGCGAAGCCTGGATTCCTACAGACACCACAGCTTTGGATCTGCTCTCTCCACAAAGCTCTGGCTTTTAAAGAGGGCTAGGAGGGGGAGGCAGGACAAAGTGGAGCTGGAGATTATCATGCCAGACTTTCAAAACAAACATTTCTGTACCACATGGAAAAGAAAATCAGGTAGAAAATACGAGCGCTCATGTCCAGCCCGAGGATCCCAGATGTGCGCCCACTGGGCCCTGGGCCAACCCCCGCACCCTGCTCTCACTTCTGGGTACCACCACCTGGCACCCGAAGGCCAGGAATCCGTGTCGGGGTGCTTTATCTCTTTGGGTACCTTTCCAGAACCTGTTCAGCGATCACTCTGACTTTCCCCGAGGGAGATGAGGTTCACGGCGGTGCATCCCGGTGCCCAAGACTCCGAAGGCAGGAGGCAGCCTGGATTCGGAGCCAGGAGTGTTTGCGAGGGGGGCAGTGAGGGGGCACCCAGGGGAGAGGGAGGGGAAAGGGGAGCGGCTTAAGGGGGATTATCAGGCCAGGCGCAGAAAATGACAGTCAGGGGCAGAGGCGCTCTGCCAAGAGAGAAGCGGGATGGGCGGAGCCCAGGGTCTCCCAGTGCACCTCGCTGCCCTGTGACCAGACCGCAGCCGGTCTCCAGGCAGCGGGGGAGAGCTGAGATTGCAGGAACGTGTCCTGGGGGCAGGCCGGCCCGGGCTGGGGAGCTTATAAGCCGGCGCCAGGAGTCCCTGAAGAAGCAGCGGACAGGAGCTGAGCGGCCCAGCAGCGCCCCGCCCCAGCCCCACTGCCCTGCCCGGACCCTGCGGTCCACTCTCCTTCCTGCTCAGTCACTGCGCAGCTCTCGCCCTCTGGACTCCACTGTCCTCGGTCTCCTCCCTCTTTCCCCTCCCCGCCAGCCTCTGGACGCTCCGAGGAGTCTCAGCGGCTGGTCTCTGAGTGTCTTCCACCCGGGACCAAGCTCCACCCCTCCAGCTATAGGTGAGACACCCCCTCCTTCCTCACTCGCTGTCTCCCCTGCCCTCTCTCCGACCTCATTTCCTCTCTCAGCCTCTGGGTCTCTGAGGATTTTAGACCCTCACCTGCCCAGGAACACCCCAAGGGGCGGGAGGGTTACTGAAAGAGATGGATGTGGGCTGTGGGCTTCCTCAGGTCAGGCGCTGGGGCGATGGCCACACCGGGAGTCTGGCGTTGCTTCCTGGGGTACCTCATTCTGGGCGCCACAGGTAGGCGCTCCTGTCTCAGCCTGCTGGACACCCGGCTCACGCCAGCCCTCTGGCTGGGAGAGCCAGGTCAGCACGCCCTGACTGAGCCTCGAGTATCAGCAGCCCCACGACCTTGTGCGAAGGCGGGAAGGGGTGGGGGAGGGCCTTCTGCTGTTGGGGGGGTCGCCCACTGCTGGGAGCTGCGGCGCCTGGCACTCTGGCACAGTGTGATGGGCTTCTTTCAGGGCGCCACTGTGGAGGCTGAGGCAGCTGGGAGAGGCTGACCTGCGCCTCGGAGGGCCGGGCTGTGCCGCCCTAGCTTCCACCGTATGAGGGGGTGGGCTGGTGAGGGGTGTGCCGTGGGAACCGTGCTGCCCGGGAGGGGGGCGCCTGTGGTGTGCGAGCGTTGCCACCCGGGGCCTGATGATTCGACAGACGTGAAGCAGAAACCCTCCTCTTGACAAGCAACGGAAGCCCAGCCCCAGTCACCCCGAGGGGCCCGGCCCACCCAAAAGTCTTGCCACGCGTGACCGCGGACCAGGCCCCACCCCCAACTCCGGCCCCACCCCTTAAGCCTTGGCCACGCCCCCTGCCCGGACCACCGCCCCCTGCCCGGACCACCGCCCCAGGAGCTCCTGCGCCCTCCACCTGCGCCCACTCAACCCCTAACGCTCTGGTCTGGTCACCCCGTGTGTGCCAGTCCCCTCTCCAGGCGCCCCCCATTCCACCCTGACTCCTCCCGCAAAGCGCTGGCCACACCCCAGAAGCCCGACCACACCCAGGCGCTCCATCCCACCCCAGCCGGCCCCAACCCGCCCTCCACGCCAGGTCCCGGGCCTGCGCCCCGCTGCCCACTAACCGGTTCCGACCCAGCTGCGACTCCGCCCTAGGGCCGCGCGCCGCCCGCGGCGGCAGCCACGTCACGGCCGGCGAGGCCTGCAGCCCGCGCTCGCAGCCCTGGCAGGCCGCGCTGTTCACGGAAGGCGACTTCTTCTGCGGGGGCGTCCTGGTGCACCCGCAGTGGGTGCTGTCCGCGGCGCACTGTCTCCGGGAGTGAGTGCGGCGAGCCTGGGTGGGGAGGGAGCGGGGTGCGGCTCCCTCAGTGGAGCAGACGCTGCCTGCGGGGGCTCAAGGGCCACTTGGCAGGACCCCGCGCCGCGAAGTGGGCGTGAACTGTGCCCGTCCATGCGGGGTTCTTCCTTGGCGAGTTCCGCATTCGGGATTCAACACCGCAGGGGTGCAGAATCCCCGGGTGCTGAGGGTAAACTATTCATGCGGCTCAGGGATCAGCACCCCTAAGCCCCGAATTTCTGGGTGGACTGTAGTTGCCACAAGCCCGACAAGCTCCCGCGTCCCTCAGCTCCTACGCTGTTGGCCTGGGCCTGCAGAGCCTGGGCGCCCTCGGAGCGCGGGGCGGCTGGGTGGTCGAGGCCAGCCTGTCCATTCAGCACCCACAGTACAACCGGCCGTTCCTGGCCAACGACCTCATGCTCATCAAGCTGAAAGACCCCGTGGCTCCCGGCGACACCATCCGGAACATCAGCGTCGCCTCCCGGTGCCCGACCCCCGGGGAGTCCTGCCTCATTTCCGGCTGGGGCCAGCTAATGAACGGTGAGCCCCTGGGCGGGCACGTCCCCTGCGGCCGCTGCCCAGCGGGGCCTGACCCGAGCCCCGCGCAGGCACGCGGCCCGCAGCGCTCCAGTGCGCGAACGTCTCCGTGGCGCCCGCACAGCTCTGCGGCGCCCTCTACGGCCCCTTGTTCCACCCCAGCATGGTCTGCGCCGGCGGAGGACCCCACGGCAGGGACTCCTGCTACGTGAGCTGCGGGGACGGGGCAGGGGAGGGCCAGGGAGGGCCAGGGCACACGCCAAGGGGCGACACGGCGGGGGGTGGACCCGCAATAAAGAGCAGCTCCGAAAGAGAGATGGAGGCACCAGGGAGGCAGACATGAGGCGAGGGAGACGCAGGGAGACGCTGCAGATGACACTCACGCAGGGGAGGGAGGAAAGAAAACAAAGAAATGGCGGAGGCAGAGACTACAGGAGTAACTGAGGCAGAGAAAAGTTGCCGTGGGAGGCAAAGGAGAGAGTGACAGAGCGCCCCGGGGCAGCTGCCCACCTAAGGAGCGGAAACGGGCACCGCGGAGTCTCGGGGGCCCCCAGGGAAGTGTCTGCCCCCCGCCCGTTTGTCTGACTCCCGTCGCCCACCTGTCTCCACCGCTGGCGCTCACTCGCTGTCTGCACCACAGGGCGACTCCGGGGGCCCCATGGTCTGCAGGGGGGCACTGCAGGGCCTCGTGTCTTTTGGACTCGCCCCTTGTGGCCAGCCCTACGTGCCCAGTGTCTACACCAACCTCTGCAAGTTCACCGACTGGATACAGAGAACCATCGACAGCAGCTAGCTCCGGAACCTGAATGCGGGAACTGGAAGCCCCAATAAATGCTACCCAAGAGATTCAGGACTGGGGGTTTCCCTGCTTTGCGCCTTCAGACCCTGAGTCCAGGCCCCACCCCTTCCCCATGCCCCGCCCCTGCCTGACTGGCCCACTGGAGCCCCCCAGAAGCCGCCCTGCGCACAGCGCCCCCTGGCGGCGCCGTGTGGTCCGGCCTTAGTAGCAGAGGACGGGGTGGGGGGCTCCCCTCTGGTCTCCGCACCCCGGAAGGAAAGCAGGGCCCCTGTTTGGCGCTGCCTTGCCCAGTCCCTCCCCGGGAGCCCGGCCGGGGGCCTCGGGGCGCCTCCGGGCAGCCCTGGTGGGCTGGGCCTTCCCACGCGGGTGGTGGCGTCGGGGTCCCCTGGGAACCGTGTTCCGGGGCTCGCCCTTCGCCCTCGCACGCGCTCGCCAGCAGTCTCTGCTGCCCATTCTCACGCAGGGGGCGGCGCCATCACCGCGTGCAGCCGTGCACGCCTGGGCGCGCATTGTGCCCGACCGACCGAGAGAGTTCCTCACAGTTTGCACAGCCTCTCACTGTGGGGCTTGCAGCTGGAGGCCGGCGGTTTGCCAGAAGCCAGAGTCCTGGACTCAGCTCTTTTGGCTCCAAGTGGGCCTGCGGGGGAGGCGGGGAAGGGCCCAAAGGAGGTGACCTCATGCTCAGAAAGGGGGGCCCTCGGTGGGGTGAGGGAACCTCGTGTCAGTTTCACAGAGAGTGACGTGAAGTCTCTGAGCAAGGCGGTTAGATTCGGGATTGCTCTGTCAGTGCGCAGTCTTGGGGGGGCGGGCTCTGGGGTGTGGATGAGCACCACCCAGTGGAGAAAGGGCAGAAGACCAGGAGGTGGAGGACCCCACGTTGGGCAGTACTCCCCAAAGTCCCAGCGGGACTTTGGCACCGGTTCTCTCAACTTCCCACCAAAGGCACCGGCTTGCGATGGCCACAGCCGCACGCGGGACAGTGCACGACGCTCAACAGCACCCCTTGGCCGCCGGGGGGCGCAGTCTCAAGACAGAGGTCGCCCAGTTCGCTCCCGCCAGGGGGTGACCTCAGGGGGTGACCCCAGGGCACGGCAGACTGCTCCTGTCTCCGGGCTGCTCCCCTCAGTGACTCTGTGGATGGCCTGTTCTGCTCCTCACTCTGTGTGGAGTCCACTCACCCCCCATAATCCAGCTCTTATATGCATAAATAAATAAAATAAACCTTAAAAATCGACATGTTTTCCCCTCCCCCCACCTCCGTCCAAACCGTGTCCGTGTGGGGAGGTTTGTTTGTGTCCGGCACAGTAAAGACATTTCCGGGAACGACCTTTACCGCCAGGACAGTAAACAACGTGTCCCCAAGAGCCCGGGTGGCCCGGGCCGTGCCCCGTGTTCTCAGAAGGGGGGACCCCAGGGGCAGACCCCACACTTGGAGTCTGCGCCCCATCCTGAGCGGGGCCAAATGCCTGACCCCCGGCACCTGAGTGCGGGGAACAGGGAGCAGGAACTCAGTGCTGCTGTACCCCAGGAATGCCGCCTGCCAATGCAGAGTCGGGGTCTCTGCCAGCGCCCCGAAAGGGCCGAGTCCTTGTCTGTTTGCACATCAGTAACATCTTGATCTTCCAGCTCTGGACACACAGCTGCAGCCCTGGACAGCGGGCGGGGGCGGGGCAGAGGGAGGGACCCCAGGAGCCGGCTACCAGGGAGAGCCTGGCCGGCTCCCCTCCACGGACCCTCAGGCGCCCCCCTCCTGCTGCTGGGGAAGCCCAGCCCTGGGTGTCCCCTCCAGGGCTCCTGTCTCCTCCCTGTTACCTCAGGCCTCTGCACGCACTGGGCTCCCCCACCCAAAAGCCTCCATACCGTGGAGGGGCACACCAGCCGACCATTCCCTTCAGCAGGGGCTTGCCACGGGCACCCTCAGTTTCCAGGGTGCCATGCGCCCATGCTGCCTTGATCAGTCCAGTAGACATCCTGCCGGCAGGGACGAGGAGCTTTCTGGGGTGTGATTCGGTCCCACACAGGTGAGACTGGACGCTGGTTGTCAGGGTCCAGCCCAGGGACTGCAGGAGACCAGGGAGTCTCCGGACTGAGCCAGAACCTTCCACCGGGGCCTCCCTGCATGAGCCAGAGCCGAGGCCCCGAGCACCTGCCCAGGGCGCCGTCTCCTGCGGGGGGGGACTCAGTGACATTAGCCGCCACAGTCCCAGTGTGCCTGGGAATGGTGAGTGGTGGCGTGGGGGCACAGGATCCTGAGGGGCGCTCCTGTCGCCTTCTCCCCACCAGGTGACTCGAGGACCCCCACGGTCCCGCCGGCCTGGTGTCTGGGTGACTCCCCGAGTCTCCACCACCAAGCTGGTGGCCCCTCCGCTCGCTGGGACACAGAAACCAGGAGAAGGGACCGGCCCTGCTTCTGGGCGCCCCTGACCCGCAGAGCCCCGCCCGCCCCACCCCGCCAGGGCAGAGCGGGCCAGAACCCAGAACTCCGCGCCCGGCGGTGGCCGCGGCCTGCCCTGCGTGGGCCAGGTGGGCACCACAGTGATTTTCCCAGAGAGCTACATTGACGGGGGCCCACCGAGACCGGAGTGCTGACCATGGTGGGGGTGCAGGCCGAGGCCCGGGGTCAGGGGAGCCTGGTGCCGGGCTCCGGAGCGCAGGGGGAGGGCCCCGCCGCCCTGCTGGCCCTCGAGGGGCCAGGGCTCAGGGGCCCAGCCCCGTGGGGTGCAGGCCCCTGGCAGGGTGTGGTGGTCAGTGAACCGGCCGCTGGCTTCTCTCCACCCACCCTCCCGGCACTATGCCAAGCGCAAGGAGCCGGGATGGGAGGGGTCTCCCAGCTGCAGGTCAGCACCCGGGCGCCTCTGGTGCCAGCTGGCAGGGCGGGCCCAGGGCCCTGAGGGATTTAAAGGCCCCACGGCGGCTCCGGCCCCGAGCTCCCGCCCGCCCTGGACACCTGCGTCCGCCACCATGTGGATCCTGCTCCTGTGCCTGGTCTCGGCCCTGGAGGGCTTTGGTGAGAGCGAGTGGGGTGGGGGCCCGACCCGCGCCCGCATCTCCCATCACCCCACCTGCACCAGCCCCACCTCCCGTCCTCATGGGCACCGGACTGTGTTCTCTGCAGCTGAACCTCAATTTTCCTCCTCTGTCACCCAGTTGCCCCCTTCCCGTCTAATCTAGGGCCCCAGACCACCCCAAATACCCATGCCATATGCGCTGTGGAGCCCCTAAATCTGATTCCCAGACTGCAGGTTCTTAAAAGTGAGGAGCCGACCCAGCGCTCATCCCGCCCCTTCCCCCAAATCCGGCCGCGTGCCCACCCCCGAGCACCCCGCTCTCTGAGTCTCTTTCCTCTCAGTGTCAAGGCTACGTCCACCGTTGCAGACCCCAAGTCACCCCCACACCTCATTCTTCCAGAGTTGCCATGTTTGTTCTCTCTGGTCGTGAAAATGGGGTTTAAGAGATTTTGGCTCTCACCGCTGGTCTCCCCACATGTCACTATCACCTCCCCATCTCGGGACCATTGTGGAATTTGGGACCTCCCCAAGCCCTCGCCATCTTCCCAGGCCCCAGCCCCGGCCATTGTGCCCCAAGACCCCTAGTTTTGGGCTCAGTCCACGTGGCCCAGACAAACAATTGGCCTAATGCGTGCCCCACCAACAGGTGCAATGCCCCCCATGCGCTCTGTGAACAGAGGGAACCCAGAGTGTAAGAAGAATTCCCAGCCCTGGCATGCAGCGCTGGAATCCAATGACTATGTCAAATGTGGGGGAGTCCTGGTGCACCCCCAGTGGGTGCTCACAGCCGCCCACTGCATGAGCAGGTGAGTACTGAGGCGGGGGCAGGGCTGGGAGGGGTCGTGCCCCCCGCCTGCGGGCCAGGCCTCCCGGCCACCTGGCGAGGCGGGCTGGGAGCACAGGCTGGACTGGGCAGGGCGCAGGACGCCACCCCCACGGCTGCCTCCCCTGGCTCCCCGAACCTCCCTCTGGCGCTGCCCTGGGCCCGGCGTCCGGCCCTGGCGCGCCTCTCAGGCTCCCGGGTCTCCCCGTCTCCGGGTCCCGTCTCCGGCCACCTCGGCCCCTCGCTGCCATCGCTGTGCTGGCTGGTCACCTCCATCTTCTCCGTCTCTCTGGGGTTCACCCCTCTCCCAGCTCCACTGGAACCATCCCGGGGAGTTGAGGGCACCCCGGCAGCAAGGGAGACCCCCAACATGTGTGTGAGGGGTCTACAGATCCCGGCTGTTCCTGGGGACCAGACCTCTCCAGGAGTCCTCTGGGGCTGGAGGGTTCCAGGGGTGTGGGGCGATGTGGGAGGGGAGGGCCCTGGCCTAGGGCTGGGCAATCGGCCCTCTGCTGGGACCAGGACCCTCAGCCCAGCCCAGGGGACTCAGCCCTGCCCCCTCCCTCTGCCCTTCCTTGCTCCCTCCTCCCCCTCTCCTCCCCTCTAGCCCCTCCCCTTCCCTCTAGCCCCTCCCCTCCCTCTAGCTCTGCCCCCACCTCTGTCTAGCTTCTCCCCTCCCCCTCGCCTATAGCCCCTCCCTCCTCCCCTCTTATCTCCTCTGCTCTGCCTCCATTTCTCCCTCCCCATCTCCTTGCTGCCTCCAGATTGTGACCCTCTCTGCATGTCACCCCATGTGCTGGGGTCCCCTTGCCGACTCTGCCCTCTGCACCCCCATCTGCCGTGTCTGTCTCTGGGTGCCCTTTGGCTGCCGGTGCTGGCTGTCACCCTTGCCGCCTCCCCAGCCTCTCTCGGGGGCTCCCTCTGTGCTGCCTGGGTGCTCCCGCCTCTCTCTGTTCACCTCCCGCCGCTCTCCCCAGAGGTTTCTACGTCTGGATGGGCCTGCACCAGAAGAACTCCCCGCAACATGAGGACTCCCCGCAACATAAGGACTCCCCGCAACATGAGGACTCCCCGCAACATAAGGACTCCCCGCACCTTAAGGACTCCCCGCACCACGAGGA